ATTTGCAATCTTTTAAGTTTTTATCTTGCTCTACAATCTTCATCTTTTCTCTTCCATTATCTTCTAACTCTAATACTTGCGAAGTTGTTGGAAGTGAAGATGTTAAAAAAAAAATATATATATATATATATATCTGTACATGCCTGTTTTTAGATATATTATATAATAAAAACAATTAAAAACCCTCAAATTACATGTTTACTTATTGCATCCATTTCTTAATAATTTGTTTATGTTTTTTACATTTACTGCGTGTTTCTCTAAATTTTTTAATTTATAAATTATTCTTAAAAATAAATAAAAGTATATAGTGAAAAAAGTAAATGCAAAAATAATAAAGCAATCAAAATAAAAAAATAAAAAAAATAAACATCACTATAAATTTGTTTTTTTGTGGTTTTTTAATAAAGGATTATGCTTAATAAAGGTGTATATATCATTTCCTTTTTTTTCTCTTTGTAAAGTAAACTTTTACTTCTCTTTAGTTTGCTGCTTTATTATTATTATGCAATGACCAAGTCTCATGAAAAAATGATTATTATTTTAAAAGACCGGCTAATAATGGTAACATTTTGTTTTCTTTATTTCACATTAGAACTGCAATAGCAAGAAAACCTTTTTATATTTTAATATATTTAGACATGATAAGTTTTATTTTATTTTTTTACATATTGAACCAGTGTTAAAAACATGAGTATAAAGAATTGAAATTGTTGAACATGCGTGAAGGAAATACCTTAACAAAATAGGAATTGATTTATTATTATCTTTGAAAATTGATTCATTATCCAGCATAAATAATAACGATTTACAGCTACAGTTTATAACACACTTTTTATTTTTTAACTTTAATAGTAAATATATATCGTGTCGAAAAAACTTAGATTCAAGATCATACCATTTTGATTTTATATCGTGTCAAAAAAATTTAGATTCAAGATCATACCATTTTGATTTTATATCGTGTCGAAAAAATTTGGATTCGAGATCATACCATTTTGATTTTATATCGTGTCGCAAAAATTTAGATTCGAGATCATACCATTTTGATTTTATATCGTGTTGAAAAAATTTAGATTCGAGATTCCATTTTGATTTTATAGACATTTGAAGTTGTAGAAAAATATTTAATTTAAATTTTTAACTTGAAATTTCAACATTAATTTTTTTTAAAAATATCTTTGAAATGCTTTAAAATAAAATCAATTCCATGAATTAAAAAAAAAATTTAAATTAATTTGTATATATTATGTATTATATTTATCAATTATAAAAAATAAAAAAGAGAAAAAAATTAAATATGAACATTTATTTGCTGTTATTTTAATTTAGATTGTGTGGCAATGTATTCTATCATATAGAAACAAAGGGATAGTTAAAAATATCCCACATATAAGCTCAATTGTTTCATAAAATACAAAATTTCTAATTTTATACGTAAAAATTCCAATGCCTAAAAATTTAGAAATTTTAATTTGAATATATGTTGTCAGTTATTGTTACTTATTATCAATTGTATTGTAAAATACAAGTTTTACACTCAAGGCAGTGATGGATCCAGGACTTATTGAAAAAATTTTTATTGTGGTGTCAAAAAAAATCTGTAAATCTTGTTTATCAACAGTAAAATACTAATAAATTGTTAATTTTTAATTTTTATTTATTGATGTGTCAAAAAAAAATCTGTAAATCTTGTTTATCAACAGTAAAATACTAATAAATTGTTAATTTTTAATTTTTATTTATTGATGTGTCAAAAAAAGTCTGTAAATCTTGTTTATCAACAGTAAAATACTAATAAATTGTTAATTTTTAATTTTTACTTATTGATGTGTCAAAAAAAATCTGTAAATCTTGTTTATCAACAGTAAAATACTAATAAAAAACTTCAGATACTCCAGGCAAAAATTCCAAATTTAAGTTTATGCTTATGTTAAACAAGGATGTTTTCAAAATAATCATGGTGGTTGAAGCCTGGGAACAAAAATAACCTCCAAAAAGTGTACCCCAGTCCCCTTCCTAACTCTTATGTGAAGTTAATAAGTAAACAAAATACTTAAACTCACTTTGCAATGCAAAGTAACTGACCAAACTTTAAAGTGCATTAATTTTAGACTAAAAAGTTTTTTGACTCATAATTGATAACTATAAAAGTGTGTCAACTAATTTTAGGCTGAAAAGTCACTCAAGTAAAAACTAAAAAGTTTTATTGAAGACTAATTTTTACTGTCTGAAAATTCAGCAAATTAATAAAAATAAAAATCTCAAACTAGCGTTATGCCTGTATTTCACAAAATTTGCATTACTTACATCATCACTTGCATCATTACTTGCAACATTTCGTATTCTTATATATTACAGTGTATAGCACTTTGCCTATCTAATGCAAGATTTGCAGCAAAAAATTAAATTTAATGAAATTTCATAATAATGAAAATAATGAAATTTCATTTATTATTGAAAAGATATACGATTTAATCGTGCTGATATACGATTTAATCACGATGATGTTTGTAAAAATTTTAGATTCAAGATGGTATATAAAAATGTTGTTAATTTATAATAGAATGAATTTAGAGTAATTAATTTTTTTTTTAAATCGATTTGACTGTTATATATATAATTAAATATATTTGAACAAACAGGTGGTGCCAGAAGTAATATAATAAAATACAAGGTATAGTATAAGGATCATCGTAATTAGGGTGAGGATGCCAGAGGTGTGAGAGCCTGAGCCATGGGACTAAAGGTGTAGAATGCTTTTGTAACATTATTTTTTATTTCAATTTATAAATTATGTAGTTTGTCAGTTGTTACACTATACTTTGTTTTTGTTAAATTTTCTTTTACTTAAATTAATACTTAAATTAACTTTCAATAAAAGATTAATTTTTATTTAATTTGTAAAATATCCAGTTTAAAATTTTTAAGATATTTTAGAAAAGCAAGGCCAGAACTATAAGATATGTTATGGAGCCAGAGCCAAATCAAAAAGATATGTTAGAGAGCCAGAACCAAAAGTTCATAAATTTTTGATGCCAAAGCAAGAATCTCGGCCATAATTTTAAAAACTTGGAGCCATCCTTTTTTAATAAAGAGAATAAAGTCAGGTTATGGTGTATCAAAAAATTTATGGAAACCAAAATCTAACCTAAACCATCTAAAGGTCAGATCAACAGTCTACAATCAGTTCACTATCAGTCCAGAATCAGTTCATGATCATTTCCTGATCACACAATTCAGGTTGTTCCAGTATGAACAAAGTAGATTTTTAACTTTAAGGTTATATTATAATACACAATACAAAAAAAAATAGTTGTAGAATTACAAAAGAAATCTGCATTCATCGATGTTGGCATAAGTGTCAGCATCAATGAGATACCTGATGATCATTGATACCTGGGTATCTGATCATTGATGCTGATATTGTAAAATATAATTTCTAATTTAAAGTATAATAAAAATATTTTTATATTTTTACTGAACATCTGCATCAGTTATTGCAAACTCGGTTTTTGAAAACCAAAAAAAAGAACCAAAAAGCTGTTAGATATATATATATATTTATATGTATATTTATATATATATATATATATATATATATATATATATATATATATATATATATATATATATATATATATATATATATATATATATATATATATATATTTTAAAAAAACTGTATGATTTTTATTTTTCGCATTATATCTCAAATTTGAAATCCCTAGCTGCATTCTGCAATCTTTGCATTAACAGTACATACAAACTTGTATAGACCACACTCTGAAAAGTTGGAGTCTTAATACCAACAAAACATCCCATTAAAGCCCTTTTAACCAGTGATTCTAGATGTCATTTTTTATTTTATTTTCTAGATTATATTTTTTAAAAAAACTGTATGATTTTTATTTTTCGCATTATATCTCAAATTTGAAATCACTAGCTGCATTCTGCAATCTTTGCATTAACAGTACATACAAACTTGTATAGACCACACTCTGAAAAGTTGGAGTCTTAATACCAACAAAACATCCCATTAAAGGCCTTTTAACCAGTGATTCTAAATGTCAATAAAAGCAAATATTGATAAAAATTAAAATCGTCAATTAAAATCCAGAGGAGTTATTAGGGTTTAAAGTTTCAATCTTATAATCCAACTGGGGATAAAGGGAATTTAAATTTTTTTAAATTTTTACAAAACGCTTTTTGACAAAAGAGCATGAAATTTCGTTTATTATTGAAAAGATATACGATTTAATCATGCTGATATTGTTATTGATGCCAATTTGTTGCCTTGCCACATCCCTAATTAAGAATGCACGCATTTACAAACAAAAAGCCGGGCGGAAGTGATATTCTCAAAATGCCTACGTTTGCCAAAGACCACAATGAGTGCAGGAAGTTTGTCTGCTTCATTTGGATGAAAAAAGAAAACCCTGAATTGATAGATTCCTTCAAACAAAAGATCACAGAAATTTTTTCCCATTCCATTAATTTTAACGATAACAAAGTTCCAAACGGAATTTGCTTAACTTGTCATTTCAAGATTAACAAAACCAGTGACAAATGTTCGCCTCCCAATCTTCCTGCTCTTTACAACTTTGATTCGATTCAAGTTAAAACTTTGTCAAGACAGACAAGTGCTTGTGATTGCCTGGTTTGTCGAATTGCAAAAACCAAAGGTAAAGAAATGCATCAATTAACTGACCAAAAATGCATCAATTAACTGACCTTTAAAAGTGCATTAATTTTAGACTAAAAAGTTTTAGACTAATAATTGATAACTAAAAAATTGTGTGTCAACTAATTTTAGGCTGAAAAGTCACTCAGCTAAAAACTAAAAAGTTTTATTTTAGAAACAAAATCAAACCGAAGCTCAAAATCACACAAATTTGTCAGCAGAAAAGAGATGTACAATTTGCTTATCTGTGGTTGCACGTGGACTACCTTATTATTGTACTCAAGGCACTCCAAATTTGACCTTAAGATCATTAGCAATGGCAGATCCCAATCGGGCAGAGCAGATAGCATCATCAGTAATTTCATCAAAAGATGCTTCACCAGGTGGCAAAGTAAGAATTCTCAAAAAGCACCATTGGAAGTGAAAAAAGGTACTTAAAATTTCAAATAATAATTTGACCTTAAGATCATTAGCAATGGCAGATCCCAATCGGGCAGAGCAGATAGCATCATCAGTAATTTCATCAAAAGATGCTTCACCAGGAGGCAAAGTAAGACTTCTCAAGAAGCACTATTGGCAGTGAAAAAAGGTACTTAAAATTTCAAATAATAATTTGACCTTAAGATCATTAGCAATGGCAGATCCCAATCGGGCAGAGCAGATAGCATCATCAGTAATTTCATCAAAAGATGCTTCACCAGGAGGCAAAGTAAGACTTCTCAAGAAGCACTAATGGCAGTGAAAAAAGGTACTTAAAATTTAAATAATTTTGTCAAAATTTTAAATTCAAATTGAATTTAAGATTTTGACAGAATTTTACATTGAGCACTCTTCTGCAAAACAATGAAAAACCTTACGTTGCTGACCTTCATCAACTGAAGGTAACTCCATTTTGAACTTATTGGTAACTCCAGGTGTCTTGATCAGGACACGATTCTCAAACTTGGAATAGATGGAGGTGGCTCATTTTTGAAAGTGAGTCTGAGTCTTCTTGACATCTGAAGTCTAAAAGCCCCATTCAAAAGTCTGTAAAGCTGTGTTCACAAGAAGGCCTCAAAAGCACAGGTGTTAAAAAGAAGCTAATAGTAGTGTTAGTTAGTTACTAATAATAGTGTTAGTTAGTTACTAATATTAGTGCACAGGTGTTAAAAAGCAGCTAATAGCAGTGGCAGAAAATACAACAGACATATGAAAATGTCAAATCAATTTTTGGCTTCCTCCAATTTAAAAAAGCTTGATCCTTAAGTCAGATATTTTTTTCTTTTGACTTTAAACTCGCAAATATATAATATGTGTGGGATCCAGTCGCACAGCAGCAAACATCCATGCTGCTGGTGTGAAATTGAGGCAATAAATCTTCATGAGTGTGGTGAGCTCAGAACTCTTGGAAAATCCAGTAACCAGCATTCAAACTTTATGAAGTCTGGCGGGGACACAAAGAATGCCAAATCTCCCACTGCTTCCATTTGATGATCACGTAAGCATTTTGGAAGTTGTTCCACTAATGGTTACATTTGCTTATTGGTGTGGTAAATCACATTGTCAAAAATCTGACTCAGAAATGGCCAAGAGCAGTTGAATGGCTCAACTCAATCCACATTCCACTTTTACCGTACCATGGATGCCATTACAATAGCAATGATTGCATGAAGCAATCGCCAGAAGCTTTCCATCCTGATTACCAAAAACAGCTTTTAAGCTGTATTGTTGATTACAACAGCAATAAAGTTTAAAATTTTTGCTGTTGAACCTATTATTGAGTTTGAAAAATGTTGCAGTGATACTTAAAAACATTATGAATAGTTTTGAATTAAAAGTCTTGCTAGAAATAAACTAGAATCCATTATTTTTGTATGAAAATTATTATTTTGATGTCAAAAAAATATAATTCTTATGGATTAAGTATTTTTCTTTCCTTTTTGAGCCTTTTTACACTTTTTACACTTCATGCACTCTACAAAAAAGTGCTGCCATGTAGCAAAAAATACGATTTTTTAAAAAGAGAATATCTCTTTTGGATTTTAATATTAGATTTTAAAATTGCTCATAGTTTAGCATCTATTTTATGTAGTTAAAAGGATTTTAACGGGATGTTTTTTTTTGATATTTTTGGACATTTGCATTATTTACATGTCAATGTTTTTAAAATTTTTCATGTTTTTGTATTTTTACTTACTTGCTTATGTGTATTTTTACTTTTCTGTTTATGTGTATTTTAACTTATTTGTTTTTGGGTATTTAACTTAGTTTTATTTTGGACATTTAGGAGGGTCGCGATAAACGTTTTTTAATGGATTTGCTGATGAGAGAAAGTTTAAATAAGCAAACGGCTGCTGATGCATCTCTCGTTCCACGTATGACTCCTGTTAGTTTATAATTTAAAATCTTATTTATAAGTAATTTATAAAGCGATATAAGGTGATTATGAATATTGATTTAATTTATTCAAAAAATACTCCATTGTTTTTAGATTAATTTTAGAATAACTCAAAAAAAGTTAATTTAATAGTCTAGATAAGTGATGGAAAAGTTTTTACTTTATTTTTTACTAATTACCTTGCTCAATTGCTATCAGTAATTCAAGTTATTTATGGGTTGATGCAAATTAACGTTATGTTCTTGATGTGATTGCGTTTTTTGAAGATACTTTGTTTTACTTTGGACATATTTTTGCTGGCATATTTGTTATCGTCTACCTAGTTGATAAATATAATCAAAAGCTTCATGTTAGCTAAATTTCTGTTTTGTTTTGTTGAAAAGTTTTTTTTAAATGTAAAATATTGTTATATAGTTCATATAATTTTTGAATTTCCTCTTTGTACATTTTTTGATGGTTTTTTGAAATGTTTTATTGATTTTTTTAAATGTTGTAACATAAATATGTAATAAATACTTTTTACATAACATTTCAGGTTATTAGAGACTTTTAAATGGGTTATAAACAGGTTGGGTGAAAAAAGATGTACTTTAAAAGTTAATTTTCTTTTTATATAAATTATAGCCCTTTAATCTTTTTAAAACTGTGTTTTGTATCAGCTTATGCTGATACTTAACATTTGAACAAATGTCAAAAATGTAAAGAAAATTGTTTTAGATCGCAAAAGTCTAAAACCAAGTAACTAAATAAAAAGAATAACATAAATATAAGACAGAAAATTAAAAACACAATTTTTTTGCAATATTTAAATACAAAAAACATCTCCCATCATCTTTAAAGACTCTTGTTGGTTTTTTATTTAATCAAAGAAGTGCCAATTTTTTTTAGGTGACCTAAATTAATGTTCACTCTATATTGATTCCACAGGGTAAACTTTACTTTAGTGGGTTAAACGGTTTTTTGTGTTTAATGCAATTGCAAGTTAAAACATAAACTTATCTTATAAACTGCTGCAAGCGTGATATTGCAAAGAGAGCTCTCTAAGATCAGAAAACGAAGATAAACTTTCAAGATTTGTAGACAAAATTGATTCAAATCAAATATATTTCGAAATAAGTTATAAGATTTCAAGGAAATTTACAATAATTTAAGTACTAATATAAAGTAAATACCTGAATATACAACGTAACGTTATAGTCAATGATGAAAGTAATAATAGTAACTGGTATTAATAATACTAATAATAATAATAACAATAATAATGATAATAACAATAATGATTGTGATAAGAACAATAATAACAACAACAGCAATAATAATTATAACAATAATAATAATGGTAACGAAATAATAACAATTATAATAAGAGAAGAATTTCATAAATAAAGACAATAACAGCAGCAACAAAAATTTAGTAAATAGTGATGGCAAGAACAAAGATTTAGTGCAAAGTAAAATAGTTGAGAAATAGAGAATTGTTAAACGAAAAGAGATAAATAGATAGATAAATAAAGAATGCCAGCCCATTAATACTAAAATTAATAATATTAAAATGGATAATTTAATAATAAAGTTTAAAAATGGCAGATAGAAAACCAGAGGAATTAGATGTATATAGATAATTAGAGAATTTTAAAATGTTAAAAATCAAATTAAAAACTGAAGGATTACCAATTGGTATATAAAGAATGTCAATATTAGTTTGTAGAAATATTTAATTGTATTTTTTTAACAAATAATTAAAAAGCTTGATTTTGAAATCAAAGATTGAATTAAGAGATCAGGAAGTAGTTTGTTCCATGAGCTAATACATTGATATTTAATGGCTTTATTTCCATGTTTAGCAGAGTGGTGTTTTGAAATAACTAAGTTTAAGCTACTGATGGAGCGAAGAGGATAGTGACAGAAATTTTTGAGAAATTGTTGAATGATAGGGGAAGGTTTTTGTGATGATAACTCCAGACAAATTATCAGTTGAGGAATGCAACAAGGTTGTTTATTTTTAATATTTTGGAGATTAGGTATCGTACATTAAATTTAGAGTTATTATACTGAAAATATATTATTTTCAAGGCTTTATTTTAGAGATGGGACAACCTTAAAATGATTTGTTTACGGGATTGTCCATGGGGACAATCCCGTAAACAAATTTACTTGACATGCATATCTTAGATGGGACCCAAAATATCATTAACTTGACATGCATATCTTAGATGGGACCCAAAAATAGCATGATATATATTTAGCAGAGTTTCTAGATTTACATAATGGCGGACTTTGGCTAGCATTCCATTAGATCTGCTGAGTTTTAATACTAAGTCATTCAGATGGCCTTGAAAAGAAAGATTAGAATCAATTTTAATCCCAAGATATTTAATAAAGTCTAAAAGATAAATTTTTTGTCCACTTAGTCTGAAATTTAAGTGCTTATAAATTGGTGCCAGATTGGATTTTAAGATAATAAGCTCTGTTTTGTTAGAATTGAGAGAATGTTTATTAGAACAAAGCCACTGAACAGGATTTCCAAGATCATGATTAATATGTTAGTTGATTTTTTTAAGTGATTTGAAGAAAAAGAAGTGGTCCTAAAATTGAACCTTGTGAGACGCCATTTGAGCAATTCTGTAAATCAGATTTAGTGCCATTAATGGGAACAAACTGTGTTCTATTTTTGAGATATGAAGTAAACCATTTTAGTGGGATGCCTCTGATTCCATAGTATTCTAATTTTGTGAGAAGGATGAAGTGATCCAGAGTATCAAAAGCTTTCTGCAAATCTGCAAACACCCCACATGCAAAGTATTTATTATCTAGAGCTCTTCTAATCTTCTCAGTAATTTCAATAAGGGTTGTAGAATGTTTGCTTCAAAATCCATATTAATTTTGGTACAAGCATTTAAATTTTTACCACGTTTTTATTAGCTCGCTTTCTTGTTTGTTTGTTTGTCCGGGTGGAATTTTGCAACTCAATTTTAACCCACTTTTCGATTAGCTAGAACTCTGAAACTTTTACTATAGCTCAGAACCCGATGACAATGCAATATTATACTACTTTTACCATGATTTGCCGAGTTTCTTGAACAATTTCAGCAAAATAAAATTTATTATGGCGAAACTTTTGGAGGCGTCGCCGCAATTTGACGCGTCGCTTTAAATAAAAAATTTTCGAACAAAAAAACCAAATTTAACTGTCGCTGTGGTTTTAAATGGACCGCAGCATAAAAACAAAATCAGTTGTTTACAAAATATTAAAAATAATAAAAGAAAATTGTAAAATTTGTGTAATTAAATGATTTAGTGGAATAATAAAGTGATAAAGTGATTAAAAATGATTAATAGTGATTAATAGAATGAAAGAAAGTAAAGAAAGGTGAAGAAAATTTAAGATTGAGGAAAAAAAAGACTGGAAATAATATAACAAATAAAAAAACTTTTTATAAAACCACGTTTTTGTAATGAACTAAAAAGTAGAAAATAATTTTCTCTTGTGGCTGTAGAAATTTTTGAAAATTAATTGAGTCGTTAGAAAGTGACATGAAAACTTTTGATTATGAACTCTTAATAATTACGATAATAATAAAAAAGAACAGAAGAAGGAAGCAATAGTTAAAGTAATTAAGGACGATGATGATCATTTAAAGTGACAAGATGCGCACCACGTTTTTCGTTTAAAATTTTACAAATATTATCGTAGTTATTAAGAGTTCATAATCAAAAGTTTTCATTTCACATACTATCGACTCGATAGCCTGTTATTCATAGCCTTCTCAAAAAGTTTGCTTAGGTTGGAAAGAAGGGAAATGGGTTGATAGATAGAAAAGTCTAGTAAGGTGCCTTATAAATTAGAATGACTTGAGCTACTTTAAAAACATAAGGGAATTTGCCATTTCTAAAAGAATTATTTATTATAATACTAAGAGGTTTGGAAATTAAATGAGAAGTAAGTTTAAGAATCCATAACTTTTATCATTTTTAAGAGTATTACTTTATTTAAGACTAGATACTCATTTGATTCATTTGAGTTTGATTCATTGTATTCATTGATTCATTTGAGTTTGATTCATTATATCACTAGATACCTCATTTGATTGATTTGACTAATAAGACTAGATACCTCATTTGATTCATTTGAGATACCTCATTTGATATCATTCATTTGAAAATTTTGGCACTTAGTTATCTTAAGGATGACTTAATGGTTCATTATTTTATTATATTTGTTTAAATATATGTTTTCCAAAATCAAAAGAGCATGAAAACAATATTAGTATTTAATAAACTATCATATGAAGCCTATCATGATGGAGTTAAAATCATTATTAACAAATTAGGTAAAAATACTATTCATAAGTTCAAATGTTGGTTACATCGTTACGGCAATTAACTTCCTCTATTGAAAGTCAGAAAAGAAAACAACTTTACTTCACCGAATTAAACACATAAGTTGAAGTATGAACTAAAGTAATATTTTTTAACAAAAATATTCACCTGAAGTTATTTTTTGAGCCTTTGAGTATTTCACACAGTCACGTAGTTTATATAATCAATTAAAAAACGATTTTCAACTTCCTAGTATTGCTAACCTGACACGTATAACTTCAAAAGTTTCACACATTGATAATAATACTTTTATTTCTAATGTTTTTTCAAAACTCAATAATGGTCAAAAACACTGTTTACTAACAATATGAAGTGTTAAACTTATGCTAATTTATCACGGGGGACAGTTGTTTTGTAAAGCATTAAATGATGGATTGAATCTTGCAACAACTGTATTGGCTGTCAAGGTTGTATATTTTTGTGAGACACCAAAATTTATAGTTAAAATGTTACTTATCTCCATGGTTGACATCTGATGACATTTTTTTACTTTTTGATTTTGTGCATATATTGAAGTGTATACAAAACAATTGTATAACTGAAACATCTAGTGAAATTGGTTTAGTTATAGAGGAAAAAAGCATGATGCTAAATGCAATCACATCAAAAAGCTTTAAAAGAAGGTGAGCTTAAAATGTGTAAGCTAACTTATGTTGCTGCTAACCCAAGACCAATTGTGAGACAAAAGGTTGATACATGTTGAAAGCATTTTATGAAAAGAATATAAGTGCATTGAAGTGTCGGCAAAAAAAGTGATGCTTTGTTGAGTTTTAAAAAATAGTCTACACTAAAAGTCCATACAAAGGAATCCACTTGAAAGACATCTTACAAGATCCCATATCATCAGTCAACGATTTACAATTCAATGATTTAATTAAGTTTTCTAAAAATTAAAGTCAATATAGATTCAAAGAAAGAGAATTAAAAGTAAAACTATAAACACAAGTAAATTAACGGTAAAAGTAAAACAAAGGTAAGTTAAGAATTAACGGTAAGTAAAACAATGGTACCAAATATTTTGATTGGTGAAATTCAAATATCATAACTCTACAAATCATA